GAGCACCTCCTCACAAAAATTCAGTAGCAGTGAGACAATGTACCTGCCCTCACACACACAGAAAGCATTTCTAGTTTTGAGGACTGGTGCACAACTAATTTCTTTACAATTTTTCAGGATGCTTAGAAGAAGAGTTCATGACTGAAATCTTAGAGATTTGAAAAGCTGCCAGTGTCTAAAATAAAACAGTGAAAATACAGCTATGTGTCTTTAAATTCAATGGTCAATTTTACATCTACATTACTGATTGCTCCAGTGAGCTACTTAGACACTGGTCAGGTACAAATTAAATCTCCATTTGAACGAAACAGGGATTCAGTGTGGTAGTCCAAAGTTATAAGGTAAATGCAGCAAAGCCTCAGCTTGGAGGAAGCTAAATCTATCTCTACACTTGCTACACAATTGCTACAAGCTGCAAGGCAGTTGTTGTGTGCTAGCAGAGCCCTGCACTTTGTACACAAACCACACAGGAAACACAGAAAGGCTTATGTACTTTCAAACAGCTTCTTTATGCAGCAAGGCACAGAGACAAAAGGAGACAATATCCTTTCAAAGAACTGAGAAAACGCTGAAGAGGTTAAAAAAATTTCAATATACTATGGAACATTGTAGTATCAGATCAGCTGGCAAAGGTCTGACAGCCAGTTACCTCATCCATCAGGTAGATTTTATATTGCACCTGCAGCAAGTGGTGTCGCTTATTTATCACACTTTGTGTCACTGCTGTTTGCAGCCTTGCAAGTGGGAAGAGAATTTCCCTTGAATTTGCAAAAGAAAGGAAGCCTATGCAATCACTTGGTTTGCTTCTCTGTTCCTCTCTCTGTCAGTCTTTTTCCTTCCAAATTCTTGTGCACTAATTACCCAGTTTCAACCAGAATCTTATGTACTGGGCTGCAGAAGCCTTGTTTGTATTATTTCTGTGAATGGAAGCCACAGCATGCTGTTCTGAAGAGATTAACCCTCCCTGATATCTGATACTTAGAGTTGGACATATAATAAAGCATTTTGTCATCAGAAGTAATCTTAAAGAATTTACAGGAGAAGCAAGTGTAAATAATGTCGAAATCTGTGTGGAGTAACATAAAGTGATCAAGACAATATGACAATACTGAAGAAGAAAACTATATAGCACCAACCAGGTGAACAAAAAAAGATTTGGGGCTGGGAAGGAAATGCTGATGCTCAGACCAGCTCCAGGCAGCTCATCTGGTGAACAGAGTATAACATGTCCTGTGTTCCCAGCAGCAAATGTGGCTGTGCAGAAGACACCAATGGGGTACTTTTCGTGTGCTTTAGATGGCCACCAGTGCAGGTACAGAGATGAGGCACTACTGTCTCTCTGCCAGTCTCTTTGCCTGCCTATAGCTCTAGGTTAGGTGCAGCAGGGGCTGCCACCAGGAAAATAGAGAGCAAATTACAGGTAAAATAGCTCCTATATGCTGCAGGTGATGCACTGGGCCCACAGCACCACTCACCAGGAAAATTTACATTTTAGCAGCATCTACAGAGGAGGTGAAAGAAAGAAGAGCTGAACTGGATGCCCAGACACTGAGTTACAAAGGCTTTTTTTGCAGGAGATGCTGTATGTGATTAGATGGCACATATTTTTTTTCACAGCTGTCTCTTTGTGCTAGCTGGTTTCTTTGTCTCAGCCTTTTGATCACGTAATTTTCAGTGTTCCTCTCAAACATTCCCTAAATTTTATGACAGCATCTGCCTTGTGAAATTGGGAATCAGTGAGATTACAACCACTGTTATTCCAACAATATCCAGGGAAGATATAATTTCTTTAATTCTTATAACAGCTTCTGCTCTTTTCAGATCAAGTTCTCTCATTTGTAAGTTCTGCTGAGAAGTGACATCCACAAATTACAGGTGTCCACAGTACTGGGAGTGTTTAGTAGCACTGTGGATATTGTGGTTGTTTTGAAAGATTCAGTCACACCTGCTGCACACCCCCTTTCATCAGCAGTTTCTACCATGAAGGATTTTTTCTCTCCTCAGCCATGCTTTGGGTGCCTGAACTATCTACATTTGACAGTAAAAAAAAGAAAAGGATAATCAAAAGTTTGAGTGATCAGGCCTTAGGAATAGCTGGAAGATAGTCTCTTATCCCCAGCTGCCTCAAAAATATCATCCACAGGACTCTCAGGTAGAAGTGGGAACTAGCTGCTTTTGTCTTACAATACTCCTATACTGTTGGATAAATTTTACTTAATACAGAACCATTTTTATCAAGTTCCCTGCTGCAATACTTGGTGTCAAGGCAGAGGCTGGAAATTAGGTTCCTTAAGTATTTCTGTATTCTGATCTTTTACAAACAATTTCTAATCATCCTGCCTGAAGATTTAGTGTAAGGCTTTCAAGAAAGTACACGCACCTTGAAAACATCTGTTTAGATTTGATATCTTGGAAATTCACACAGCTCAGAATATTCCAGAGGCTGGCTATCAGTTTATAAGATACAGTGCTTTCAAAAGCTGTGATTTTCCTTATAGAATGGAAAAATAAGCACTAGGAAAACAGTTCAAGATTAATAGAGATCCATGAGCCCTTAACTGCAATCATGGAGGAAATCCTAAATTTGGATTTCAGTAGGGTCCTGTTTACAGAACTGAATTCCCGTGTAATAAAGTCATTCAGCTTGAGGTCATTGGCATTGGGAGAACTTCTCAGGAAAGAAAAATCCAGCTCATTCCCTTAGCTCACTCCACAGAGGTAAGGGAATGCAAGGCCCTGGCACTGCTTTTCACCCCCCTTCAGTCCTCCTCATTTCACTTTATCTTCTGTTTTCCTTCCCATCCCATTCAGGGAATACTCTTTCATCTCTTCTTTGCTGAGGCACTTTTATTATCTCATGGAAATACTCGAGGTCCAGAAATTTTGTGAAGTGATTTCATGCTTGCATTCATGCTGGGAAAGAATCTGCCACCTTCTGAAACACTGGGAGTACGAGCTTTTACTGGTTTTTAGTGCTGCCTGCTCAACTCTGCTTGTCCTATTTATTCACCCTGATTAGGCTGCCAAGGCTTGCTGAAAGGAGGCTTGACATTTACTTGTCTTTGACACTCCTTATGTAGTTCGAGGTGTTACAAAATCAGCAGCAAGGACACTTTCCAGAGCCTCTGAGTCTGCACTCACCTTATTTACTTATTCATTCTTGGTGAATCATTGTCATATCTGAAAAGATGAAAAAGTTTTCACAAATCAGACTACAGAAAAATAACACTTTTAAAGTTTTAAGCCTTTAAATTAATTATTCCATCGTTCCACTCTTAAAGTGACTGTTACACTTACTGAAGCTATGTATTTTCAATACCCACAGCAAGCAGATATTGCAATGTTACTGCATAAACTGCTCAAGATAACTAGCTGGTTTTCCCAACATATTTTCTTAGTTAATGAAACTAAAATCACAAGTATAAAACACAGGAAAGACAAAAAAACAACACAACAACAATATTACATTCAAGAGCTTCTCTTGTATTTACATATAATAAAATAGTTCACAGTTCAGCTGTGAATACGTTGTGTTCACATTTACAGGATGGTGAAAATAAAGATCAATCAATGGAGCCTGTCAAGGAAAACCCACATGCTTATTGAGAGGAATATAGGGAAAAACTTACTTTATGAGTTAATTCTTACTGAACTGTCTCCTCCAGATCTTCCTGCACTTTGTGCACTCTCAGCAGTGGGAACCACAGGGGTCACAAGCTGTGTCATAGAGAGAACACCATTGTCCCTTTTATGAGGAGATGATATTGTTATAACTGCCTGACCACTTCATGTCTGGCAGCCTGATATGTCACTTTAAAACTGAGGTTTCAGTTCTGCAAAGCTCCTATGATTTCTGGGAAAATGTAATCAGAAAAGTATGCTTAGCAATAGCACTTGCTAGTGCAGGCTTTGGTCAGAGCATGGCAGTTCTCAAGTGTTTCAGAACGGCTTAGGGCTGGCTGAAACTTGTCACAAATTCACTTTTTTAAATTCAATCTGTTAAAGACAGATGCTTGGTAAGCAATTATTTAAAATATATGAACAATTTATAGTTAATATTTTGGAATTGCATCACTTCTTTTGTTAAGATTTAGAGATCTGAGTCTTACTTGGTTTTGGCTTTTTGACTAAAGAAGTAGAATTGCCCTCTTTGGAGATTACAGTAAGGAACTAACCCTCTTGCAGAGGACGCTTAATACTTCCTTAGATGATTTCACACAGCCTCAAACACCCATAATTTACACACTTGCCTTAGCAATTCATGTGACAATTAATCCAAGCCTATGGGCAAGGGAGAGAAGTAAAATAACCCATTGTGTGCTGGTAAACTGTTTGTATAGTTGATATGACCACTGCAAAGTCGATTCTGCAAAGTTGCCTTAGGTGAAGTCAGATTCAACCCCTGTCCTGTGCAAAACGATTAATCTAGAGTAAGCAGACTTGTGGTGGTTTGAGCTCATCTTTTACTCGCACGTCAGATGGAGCACGTCGCTACAATTATTTGAACGAGGACTCCAAGAACTTTACAAGTTATTTCCTGGGGTTCACTTGTGTGCGTTACCGCCGATAACTTCCCGAAGTTTAACTCGGGGAGGTCCCGGCAAAGTAAGGCACAGAGCACAAACAGCATCCAGGCTCTCACCCTCCCTCCACGAGCCCCAAAAATCCCTCGTTTGGCTCTAAAACCGGCGAACGGACGGAGCCGGCGGGGCGGGGGCGGTGGGAAGCGGACCCTGCCCCTCCGGACCGCTGGTGCCCGCGGTCAGCCCGGGATCCTGGGACAGCCTGGGGATCCCGGGACAGCCTGGGTGTCCCGGGACAGCCCGGGGATCCCGGCACAGCCCGGGGATCACGGCACAGCCCGGGGATCACGGCACAGCCCGGGGATCACGGCACAGCCCAGGGACAGCCCGGGACAGCCCGGGACAGCCCGGGATCCCGGCACAGCCCGGGGATCCAGGCACAGCCCGGGATCCCGGCACAGCCTGAGGATCCCAGCGTAGCCCGGAGAGCCCGGCACAGCCCGGGGATCCCGGCACAGGCCGGAGAGCCCGGCACAGCCCGGAGAGCCCGGCACAGCCCGGGTATCCCAGCACAGCCCAGGATCCCAGCACAGCCCGGGGATCCCGGCAGGGCGCAGCACTGCCCGGACAGCCCCGCGCTCTGCGGGCGGCCGGTGACCCGGGGCGGGCGGGGGTCAGCCCGGCCTCCCGGGCATCCGCCGGGGCGGGGGCGGCGGGGCTGGCCGCAGTCGCCGCTGTCCCCGCAGTCCCCGCAGTCCCCGCTGTCCCCGCGGCCGAGCAGCGCGATGCCGCTGCAGCAGGGCTCTGCCCGGGCGCGCCAGCGCACCGTGCTCCTGGTGGGCATCGCCGTCCTGCTGGCCGCCCTCGTCCTCGCCGTCGTGCTGGCCTCTCTCCTGACCCACGGAAGGCACGAGGTCACCCCCAAAATGCTGAAGTGGAAGGACAGAGGGACCACGAAGAACTTGCAAGAAGTTATTCTGGGAAGATGCTACAACTACATCACGGCGCAGCACCCAGAGCTGGGGTGAGTAGAGGTCTGGGTTGGGTGAGCAGAACTCTCTCGCCTCCGCCTGGCCGTGGGCGCTGGGCTTGCAGTGGTAGGCAGAAACCAGGCGGTCAAGAACCCTGTTTTGTAGAAAAATGTACAGACAGAAACTTGGTGCCCCAGTGGTGGCTTTTTAAGGAAACTACCTGCAGGGGCAATAAAAGTAACACTAATCAAAACATAATCATAAATGGATTTTACAACTTCCCCAATGCCAGCTGAAATAAAAGCTGAATTCTAACAGTTTTGAGTACATGGAGGTGAAGCAATTTGCTGTAAAGCTGGTCTGCCAAAGTTTGTAATGTGACACTGCAGCCCTGTTACTGAAATTGCACAGGAGGGAGGGAAAGGACAAGGTTCAACACAGATTTATAGAGCAGAAAAAAGTGTTAGAAAAACATTCAGAAGTATGTTTGGGTTATCCAAAACTGTTTTTAGCATGTGGATAAGACTTCTTGATGAGCTCAGAGAGTTTGCATGGAGAAACAGAGGTGGATCATAATATCAGCTCATCACTCCCTGGAGACCTTCCCTCAGAGGTGGTCCTTGCTCAGCTCATCACAGCAGGTAGTGCAACACCCCAGGCATCCAATCCCTCTGCTCCTGCAGAAGAAATTCCATGAGCCCAGGTCTGCAACAGTGTATTAGAGCTGAGAACTGATTTTCTGATCCCCTTGGTTGCAGAGAAAGGATAAGTATGAAATAAGGAGTGCCCTGAGCCCCCCAGCCGGTACTGGGGACACCCAGGACAGGATCCAGAGCAACCAGGGTCTCTCAGCAGGGAACCATCCATCCCTTCTGTGGCACCAGCTGCCCTGCTTTGTCTCTGCAGTGAGCCTCTGGCAGAATTTTCCATCACCCTGGGCTGAGTGTTGGGGGCCTGCCCCACACCTTGGTGACAGAACCATCCTGGTCTTTGTCCTAAAAAAGGCAACTGGCACCTCTTGTTTTCATGACATTGAGCTGATGAGAACAAAGCTGTATATAGTTTGCTTGCATTTGGGTTTCTTTTGGATATCCTGCACTGTATGAAAAAGCTGATCTGCAGTATTTGAAGGGTCACGTGGAAAATCATGGCCTGAGCACACAGAGACTTGTTCATGCTTTACATCAAATATTTGAGTGGCTTTAGTGAGGGAAAGGAGGATACTTTTGCAAATAAAATTTAAAAGCTCCTGAAACTTGCAAAATCATACATATGTTTCTAAAAGCATAAATTAATTTATTAAAGATTTATTTATATATATTATTACTCAATATTTAAATCTGAAATTGTTTTCAGGCTTAATAGCCTTTGTTACTTGGGCTTGTGTCATTCAAATTGGGGTACTGAAGATGTGAAAACCACTTTTGTGTAAATGCACTTTCAGCCACAGCCACGCATGTTTTTGCTGACAGCACATTCTGAATCTGGACTACAAATATCTCTAGGAATGATTTGTTTAGTCAATTAATTCAAGGACAGTTTTAAAAAATCACAAATTCATGATCACAAGTTTTCTAAAATGTTTGTTAATACAAAGTGCAGCATTTTGGCCTATTCATAATCCAACAGTGCTTAATACCTTTGTGGCTGTGAGCTCACTTTCTTTCAGATTAAATTGCTTCTGTATCTTGCAACCCTTTTTTGTTTTATTTTATTTTATTTAAGAGACAATTTTTTTCTGAAGCATAGAGCAAAGAAGGAAAAATATGCCTGTTTATGTACATGTGAAATGTTCAGAGGTTCCCTGAGTGGAGAATTAAATGCAGATGCTTTTCTGGAAATTCTGCTCATTTCTGATTGCGCTGAGCTCTGTGCAGTTTGTGTAACCAACCACTTCCGTCACTGGCACTTTCTGATAATGACCTGGGTGCCTTTAGGACACATCAGAGAGTGGGATCTTTCATCCCTCTCTCTTTCATCATTAATGGAGGCCTTGGATCCTCTGTTGTATGGGATCTCTGGTGCACTTAATCGAAGAGAAGAGTAGGAACAGGGAACTGCAGAAACATGGGCAGTCTTATGAGCTGGGCAAGCTGTGCCCTGTACTCTGCCAGGACTGTTGCTGCCACTACTTCCCACCTTGGGAACTTTGTTATCTTGGTTTGAAATAATTTCATTTTCTCATAAATTTGTCCGTATTTTGTTCTTGCTCTTTTAATCTTACACTGATATATATATTTTTTTAAAATATCTGCCTTTGGTAAACTCGTGGACACTTCCGTGTATTTTTACTTTTTTTATATCAGAGTTACTAAGTTCCACCTTTGGTGGTATTTTCTGAACATAAAATCTATTCACTGTGGTAGTTAGTGACACTTACCACATTTTGGAATGCCATATTTCAATTTGGAATAACTGGCAGGTTTTGAATAAAAGGGGGGTGGTTGGCAAGACTATGGATATTATGTTGTTTCTGGCTATCACAGATGGCTGTAACAGCATTCTACAGCCTCCATTTAGCTCTGCTTTTGCATCTGTATGCTGTAAACCATTTAAGGCAGCCTCTGACATGTTAGTGTACACCTTTACTATCACAACTCTTTAATTCTAGAGGATACCTCTTTGCACTCTCCCTTGTCTTACTGCAGCCCTTATACCATGCCCAGCCAGCTCGCTCTGGTCATGCCCTTCTCTTTTCCAATACAATCTTTGGGCTGAACCCAAGCCCACAGAGGCCACTGAAAGGCTCTTGCTGTCTGCAGCTGAGCTTTGTAAACACCTCATGCAATCAGATTTTATCCTGCTGATTTGTTTATTCTTCAAATTCATCAAAACTCTGCTTTGAACTTGCTCACAAAAGGACATTTCTCTGGTAATGTGTTACAGCATCTGCCAGTAATAATTTTGTTCAACTGCTTGCATGCTGTACAATCCTCGGATTTATTTCTGCTGCTGGCTGACTCTCAATATTTGTACACATACAATTTCCTCAGTCTTCCTGCATAAACTTTGTCATGACAAAGTTCATGAGAAAGAGGAAGAGAAATAACACCAAATATTTCAATAAAGCATTTTCAGTATTAGCCCTTTATTTTGGAAGAAATGTGGATGGTATAGCAGTGGGCTTTAGGGCGTTTGTTCCCTGCACACAGAGTCACACATCTACATACTGACAGTAAAAAATAATATTTCCCTTTTGACTCCCCTGGAAAATAATGGCTCCAAAGCAATAGTTTGTCACAGCTTGGTATTCTTACCTTTTTTTCGACATTAACAAAAGCTAGAAGCTCTGATTTCACTAGTCTTGTAAAAATCCCGCGTGGCCATCAGGATGTGTAGTAGTGTGGGCTGAATAAAGCCAAAAGCACTTTGGTCTGAAGCAACAATCTGACCTCCAATGACTTCGTCCTCTCCTTCCCAGTAAGAGGGCCTCCCTCTTGTGGCTGTCAAACCGCTTGCAAGTCTCGCCTCCAGTCTCAGGCACCGCGGATTTTCCGAGAATTTCTCCTTGGAACATCCAGAGCAGGGAGGGCAACAGGGCTCAGGGCTGCAGGCTCACCTGCACAGGTAGGAAATTCAGCAGATCCGTGCTGACAGAGACCTGTTGTGGTGACCCATAACTCACCCGTCACTCGCAGGATGCTGCTTCTGATGGTTTGGCACCTCTGTGCTTGTTGGGGCAGAAAAAAAGGCAACAGCTGTAGCCAAAGTTAAGAAACCTAAGGTTTAGGTTTCTTCTTCACCACATTTGAATTGGCAGGCTGAGGTCAGGAACCAGCAGCACTTTGTGATCTGGGGAAGGAGTGGAGAAGCCACGTTATCTAAAAGCTCATAGTCACTAATGCCCAAAGCATAAAAGATGCTCTTTTTTTGGATCTAGAAATAACTGATTTTACATTTGCAGCTCGGGAGAATTTTTATTCTCAGCTAATGACTGCTCCTCCCTTACAGCTGCAGTCACTTCTTGGTCTTTAATTCACAGAACCACAGAATCACAGAATGGGTCAGGTTTGAGGGACTACAGAGGGTCAGCTGGTCCAACCTCCAAGCCCAAGCAGGATCCTCCTAGAGTACATTACACATGGGTGTTTACACACAACACTACAACATCACAACATTAGGGCTGTTTGTGTCCAGAGAAAGGACCTACTATTTAAAAATATAAAAATTGTTTGAAGTCAAACCAGCTTATTTTTTGTCTAACTTCTGACAGGAAGAGGGCACCAAAGATGGGGAGAGACAGGAGCAGTTTCAATAACACATCTAACTGCCAGGTCAAACAATGCCACTGTGCCTGACTAAGCAATACAAAAACCTGATGATGAAGCTGAAAGTGCAAAACTTCAATACATTTTTCATGCAATCTTGTATGGACACAGAATATGTTTCCCCCATAAATATAATTAGATCAACCAATATTGTTTTTATTGTTAGTGGCAAGGTCTGTTGTAACAAATTTTAACAGTCTATAAGTCCATTAAATTTAGTAAGAGTTGGTGCATGTCCAGGAGATCTCTGGTGCATGTCCAGTCTGTCTCCTGACTGCACAATCATGAATGCATTTTGCCTTCCCATTCCTTTGCAGCCTGTGGAGATGGAGATACATTTTGTCAAAAAGAACATATGGACCATGATTTTGTGTGAGATACTATTGCATTCATAGCATAATTTCTTCCCAAATTAAATCTGGGGTTTGTTGCATGCTTAGTTTTGCATTTTGCCTTCATGCTTTACTAGGCATTTTTAATCTAATTTCTTTGTGTTTCTTCACTCATTGTTAATGCTTTCACATCAAGCATGGTACTAAATAACCGTGATTTGATGCAGTGTCACAAAAATCCCAACTTTATTTTTATAGCCATGGTATTATACTGAAACTTACCTAAGTCTTGTTTTTTCATTGAGAAAATGTGCCTTGCATGAGAGGAACCATTACTGAACCAGTCTTCTGAAGAGTACAAATTACTACCCAGTTGCAATGCATTAGACCCTCTTAGAGTGCTCAGCAGATCTCTAGAGCTTCCTCATCTGATATCCATCAAACTGCAAAGGA